CACGGTCTCCTCCTGGGCAAGAGACTTGCTGGTGTTTTGGCTTCCCAATAAAAGCATTGGACTGTCTGTGGGCCTGGCCCCTCCCCTTCCACCGCTGGCTCAGGTGACCTTGACTCTGGCCGGGCTGCCCCGCCTGCTGCACCGCTGGACTTAATCGGCTGGTGAACAGGCCAAATGCCATGTAACGCGGCCTGCGGTACAACCACTGCCTCCCTGAGCCGATTGCCTGGCAGTGTTTACATGGGATTATGACAGCTAAGCTGGGAGTTTAAGGGAGGCCCTCTCTGCATTAGACTGATTATCTTCAAGGGGACACAAAGCCTGGCCCACCCGGGGGGGGGGGGGGGGGGGGAGACAAGAGTCCTCCTTCCTGCCCTGCCAGGTGCTTTACTGCAGCGTGGAGACACCAAGCTGCCTTGTACCGAATCAGCCCCTTGGTCCGCCTGGGGGGCAGTCTTGTCTACTCCGTCCGGGGGCTGGAGATGCTGCCAGGGATTGAACCAGGGACCTTCTGCATGCCGAGCAGAGGCTCTGCCACTGAGCCACGGTCTGTAAGCTTCCAAGGAGCCCCTAAGGGGGGAGATGGCTGGACGGGACCTCTGCCCCAGGGACTGCGCTGGAGGGCTTTCATCTCCTCCTCTGAGCCTACAAGCAGGATTGAGTCCCCACGCCTCCACTTGCAGCTGCTGGATGACCTTGGGCAAGCCGTCGTTCTGTCAGAGCTGTTCTTGAAAAAGGGCAGTTTCTGTCAGAGCTCTCTCAGCCCCACCTACCCCACAGGGTGTCTGTTGTGGGGAGGGGAAGGGAAAGGAGACTCCAAGTGAAGGGCAGGGTATAAATCCAATCTCCTCCTCTTCTTTTTCTTCATTGTGGGGTCTGGGTTCTGTTCCCTGGGCTGCTGGATGCACGAAGACCAGAAGAGTGTACCGTGTGTCTCCCCCCGCCACCCCTGGCGGTGCTTAGGTGGCCGGCCTGCACCAGCTGTGCTACAGCCTGTCTTCACCCCCCCTACACACACACACCCGGCATTAGGGCCTGTCCAATCCACGGAGGGAAGAGGGCCGGCAAAGATTAGCAGAGCCATTATCTAATGAAGCCGGAGCACCGGGCCTTGGGTGGGCAGGGACAAGGTTATGCCATCCTTTCTGGAGGGCATGGCGGCGGTTCCAAGCTTGAGGCCATGCCTGGCAGCTGCCCCAGGAGACATGGGACACCCGCGACAAGGGCAGAAGGCCCTCACCGTGCCAACAACCGGGGGTGGTGGTGGAGGGATGCAGCCCTGGGCCCTGGCAAGCAGCCCTTCTGACTGGGGGGGGCACTTCCAGCAGCACCTGGGCACCTCGGTGGTTGTGCCAACCTTGTGTAGGCCAGGTGGGGGGCGACTTGGTGCGTTATAGGGTGGCCAGCCCCCCAGCTGGGAAATTCCTGGATTTTTTTTGGGGGGGGGAGCCTGGGTCTTGGAGAGGGGAAGGGGCTCAGCTGTATATGGTGCCATATAGAACTGCCCCCCCCCCAGGCTCCCACTCTCTCCAGAAGAACTGGTCTTGTTCACCTGGAGGTCTGTTGTAACAGCTGGAGATCTCCAGGTGCCACCTGGAGGGTGGTGACATCCCGTCTACTCTGGGGCGGCCCAGCAGGAAGCGCCACGGCGTCGCGGAAGGAGCGCAAGATAGGCCAGCTTGGTAGTGCCCCCCACGAATCCCCAGGAAACCAAAGAGGTGCCCGGTTCCCAAAGACTGAGGAACACACACAGTAACACGCTCTGAATACGCTCTGTGTGGAAAACAAAACATTGTGCAGACCAAACTGAAATAGTAGAAAAGGGTAATAAGAGTCTAGTAGCACCTTACCTTTGTGGTAGGGTCGGAGCTTTCATGACTCAAAATCGGCACTGAGCCGTGACTCACAAAATCTCATCCCCTGCCGCAAATTTCTTAACGAGGCTGCCCATCTTGATCAAACTACTAAATGGCAGAGATAAAATATACACCAAACAGAAAATCCATGTTGTGGCTGTTGCCTGATTCACACATTAAGGCAGGGGTGTCAAACATGCAGCCCAGGGGCCAGATCAGGCCCCCGGAGGGCTTCTATCAGGTCCGCAGTGGAACTGGCAGTCTTCTGCTGCTGCGTCATCGTAGGTTTGCAGCTTACAGATACACACCTGAACAGCATTGCAGCAGCACAGACATTTTGATGCAATGATTCAGAGCAAGAGGTGTCAGTTATCAGACATTGTTCAATAAACAAAATATTGCAAGAGTGCTGATGTTTTAAGCATGTTTTTATTTTAAGTAAAATAAACATCCTTTCTGTTTGTGCCCTTTATAAAGGTTATATCTCTGCTACCTGGCATTACATTACATACCACGGAAATGTCTTCAGACAGCGCTGGCTCTTCGGCTTTGAAACGGAGATGAGCACAGCAACCCTAGAGTCGGACTCGACTGGCTTTCGAGCAAGGGAACCTTTACCTTTTTACCTGGCATTACATTTTATGACACGTGGCCTGCCCCAACAAGGTCTCCTTTATGTCAGATCCGGCCCTCATAACAAATGAGTTCGACACCCCTGCATTAAGGGATGCACCGGTCAGGCCAGGGGCCCTTCTGAACTCCGTCCTCTGTTGTGCCTCACCCAGATCAGGGTGTGGAAGCTTCCGCCTTTCCTCCCCCACCATTTCCCCTGCCTGAAACAGCCCCAAGGAGTCCTCTTTGGCCTGCTGTTGGCAAAATACCCAGGGAATGGAGGTCCCAAATCCACCCCCACCCCTGGCTGGTTCAGGCTGGGAACATGATGCAGGGAGGATGCGCGGAGGATTGCTCCTTTCCTATATGCCTGTCATGGTGCTGACCTGAATCACACACTGGAAACACAGGAGAAAGGTTGGAAAGACAGCGGGGCAAATTCACAGCGGAAAAGAGGCGGTCACGAGAGTCAAACAGAGCCTCCAGGTTCCGAAGCAGTGCACCTCTGGCCTGCCACTTGCTGGGGAGTAAGCCATGGGGCACAGCTACCATTGTGGGAACTATGGTGTACGCCTAGAAGGGCTTCAGCATGACCTGGGGAGGGGGCTTCCTGACTGGGGAGCCATTTCATGGCCGCTGCTGCAAACATGTATGCTGTGGTTTTAAGCTGAGGAACACACAGATGGCTTGGGTAAGGGGGGGCAGTTTGGGACAAGTGGGCATCTGTGTGTCTTTAAAAGGGCAGCACAGAAGGAAGGAAGTCCTTCTTCACCCAAAGAGTGATTCACACATGGAATTCACTGCCACAGGAGGAGGTGGCGGCTACAAGCACGGACAGCTTCAAGAGGGAGTTAGATAAGCATATGGAGCAGAGGTCCATCAGTGGCCCCTATTAGCCACAAGGTACAGGTAGGAACTCTCGGTCTGGGGCAAGGGATGCTCTGTATTCTTGGTGCCTGGGGGGGGGCAGCAACAGTGGGAGGGTTTCTGAAGCTCTGGCCCAGCTGCTGGACCTCCTGATGGCACCTGGTATTTCTGGCCACCGTGTGACTTAGAGTGTTGGACTGGATGGGCCTTTGGCCTGATTCAAAGTTGGCTTCTCTTATGTTCTTAAGGGAGGACAGACCTGTACTATAGGGCCTAAGAGGCTGTAGTGGTTAAAAGTTATCTTTTGGCTATGCTCCTGTAGAGTGCAGGGGGTTGGACTAGATGACCTGCAAGGTCCCTTCCAACTCTAACATTCTATGATTCTAAGTGCGCGGACTCTAATCTGGGAGAACCGGGTTCGATTCCCCACTCCTCCACCTTGCACCTGCTGGATGACCTTGGGCAAGCCATAGTTCTGCCAAAGCTGTTCTTGAAAAAGAGCCATTTCTGTCAGAGCTCTCTCAGCCTCACCTGCCTCACAGGGTGTCTGTTGTGGGGAGGGGAAGGAGTTTGTGAGCCACTCGGAGACTCCCTTGGGTAGTGAAGGGCCATGGGGTATAAATTCATTCTCCTCCTCTTCTTCATTCTCGAGGGAACCAAGTGCCTGGAAGGAGGGGGGGGTGCTCACAGATGACTAACTGGCCAGTCTGTCGCCGTGGCCCTTTTGGAGAGCCTGGAGCCTGAGAGCCACGTGTTAGAAATAGATCCACTGGGGGGGGGGGAGTTGATGAAATTCCCCCACCAACCTACTCTGGGATCCATTCTGAGCTCATATGTCCCAGGGAAGACACAGGACACCGGTGTGTGCCTTGCAAGCACAGCCGCAGCTTGACTGATTGCGTGACATGCCCTAGCAAGAAGCACGCGCCGCACTCACCCAAATGGCTGGCCACAGGTCAGCCCCTCAGATCCTGGTCTTGCTGGCCTCTTCAGGTGCTGCTGGACTCCAGTTCTACAATACTAGCTGACGACCCTTTGGAACGGCGGACCCCCTTGTGAATCAACAGAATCAGCAGGCGGTCACAATGGGTGACGGGAGAGAGGTCACGTTGTGTTTGAACAGATAAGCCAAGTGATGAAGTGGGATAAACAGAGGAAATTACTGCTACGCAGGGAGTGGCAGTCAAACATTTAGGCGAAAATTCTCTGATATTGGCACAGTTAAGAAGAAGAAGAGTAGAGACTGGATTTATACCCCTCCCTTCACTACCCAAAGAAGTCTCAGAGCGGCTCACAAACTCCTTCCCCTTCCCACAACAGACACCCTGTGAGGCAGGTGGGGCTGAGGGAGCTCTTTCGAGAACTGCTCCTGAGAGAACAGATGTGCCAGAACTACGGTTTGCCCAAGGTCATCCAGCAGGTGCAAGTGGAGGAGTAGGGAACCAAACCTGGGCCTCCGAGATTAGAGTCCACACACTTTACCACAACACCAAACTGACTCCCCAACCACATTTTCTAAAAAGTGAGGCCCATATAGCTATCAGAGACTGTGGGGAGTAAGAGTCCAGTGGCACATGAAGGCTTCTATCCAGAATTAACCTTTGTTGGTTAAAGATGCCACTAGACTCAAACTTTGTTCTGCTTCAAAC